TTTATTTGAGAATCAAATCCCATTAGTTCTACATCCAATTAATACAATGGTAATAGCATAATAATATCGCATAACTAACGTAATAATTGTTTGATCATCATCATATGTTCAATCGTGTCGAATAGCACCATTGTTTTGCCTCTTTTACATAACCAACGTAATTACATTACTTCGATTACAACGCCGTCGAATCATACATGATTACGCGCTAACGATTGCTCGCAAATATTTGCATTAGCAGTACATGTAGAAATACCGAGGATCGTTTGAAAATTGTTACAATCTAAACACAAGTTAGATACAAATTATCGAATACACTGCATAGGTTATGTCTCTCTACTGCCCTCTTCGTCTTAACATTAGAACTATCAAACTAGTCAAAATGACAACTTTAAAATTTTTTATCTTTGCAATATATAAAAGCGTTTAACAATTTTTATTAAAATTAATGTCAACTTTTATTAAAATGTAATTTATAGAAACATAAGTATATGTACTTACTTATCACCAACTTTAATCGTATCGATATAACATTCTAGGGATTAAAAGCATTTTTGTCATATTCGAATAAAAAAGAATTTTTACAATACAAAAAAAATATTGATATGATTATAATTGGGGCATCATGCATGTATATATACCTCCTTTTAGCAAGTGAATGATTAACTACATTTAAAAACCTATACATACATCTATCATAATGAAAATAATTATCATTGGTTATTTATACTATATTTAGGTACATATTGTAAGTTGGTAGTTCTGTTAACTTCGTCTGAACAAACGTTACATTATTCTTCGATGAAGTTGTCATCGTCACATTATAAATTATCGAACATAATCACAAATAAAAGGAAAAAAAAGAATAAAGAAAAGAAACAAACTAAACGAAGAATGGTGTTCGTCGTTCATGAATGGATAGTATCTGTGGCACTTTGAAAAAATTTGGTTCCCATTCGTGGTGACTGCCTCTCTCGCGGCGGTGCGAACAGACAGAAATTGTCAGCGGGAAAATAACGAACCGTCAGTCGATTCGTCGCCGCCGAAACAATAACAATCGGCGTGTGCTCGACGATGCAGTAATTAAAATAAAATTAATTGGATTGGTCGTGTGCGCGTTCCCGTACGGGAACTTTCGAAGGAGATGGCTGTACAGCCGTAGGCGCGTTTTGTGCGTTATTGCATATAATGCACTGTTTATTCTGCATTCTCCCTCTACGGCCCCCTTCCCCTTTCGTATACATGCACGTATATACGCGGCAATCCGCTTCTTCTCTCCTCTTTGCTCTTCATGAATCTTTCCGAATCGGATGTGCGTGACCCGTTGGGTTTAATGGATACGTGTTCGATTTTGTCAGTTATGATCGTCGATCAACGAATAGTTTCATTGTTCATTGTGCAATCATGGTAAGTAATGATGCGTAGTTTATTAATATATGAGAATAAACGTGTATTAAAGTAAGAATATTGATAGGGATGATATTTGTATATTTTCAGATTTTTAACTGAATTGAAATTCGAAATGGGAGAATATGCAAGCAAAAAGTTATTTAGTTGTCTTTTAGAGCTTTAAAAAGAGGAGATATTGAATAGAAAGTTCAAAATAGAAGACTGTACAAGGTAAAAATTATTTAATAGATTTTTAGATTTTTAACAGAATTGTAGCGTCAAATGGAGAATTTGAGGTAAAAGAGTATGAAAGATAAAAATTAATATTTAGTTTTTATTTAATATTTTTTAAACTTATACATTCATATAGCAGTAACTTGTATCCGTAGAATAATTCACATTTTCTCTGCTTATCTTTTTTTTCAGAATTCTAACACAGCCTGCCTGTATACAGATCAACGGGACGAACTCTCTCACGTACCAATTATTAATTAGAGAACAAATATATTAATATGCAAATGTAGGGGAAACCCGTAAAATAAGTACGCGTTAATATTGAGTTTCGAAAGTAATTTAAATATCGAAATTATTGAAATCTGCGTCCACATCGGAAACATTCGGTTCCTTCTGCCCCGCGTTATCTCGTTCGTAATTCATACCACGCGGCCACGTCTCTACCTCCCGTAATAATTCATTTCAACCAGCTTTCGAGATTTAGCCGTGTGCCGTTCAACCAATCGATCGACCTTTTCTCGATGGAACTGTACGAGCGGAGGGTGTTCATTAAAATTTCACCGACCGAGTTGTCTTGATCTTTGATTTGCTCGGTGGAAACTTCGCTTCACCGTGGAACCTTGCGGGGATCAGGCCGATTTCAGCTTCAAATTCACTTTGACTTCGACTGCTGTTCGGATTCCCACGGGATACATCGGTGGACCGTACGAACCTCTTCTTCTCGTTTTACTAGAAAAATCGAACAAAGATACGCTGCTCCATTTTCGTTATCTCGGCGGATAGCTGTTAAAGAATAGCTGCACTTAAAGTTAGAAAAGACCACTCCGCTTCAACGATATGTATATACGTACCATTTATCGATAGAATGACTTCAAGTATCGTTTATAATGATTTTTACGTAGTTATGATAGGCCTGAGACAATTATTTAGATATATGCAGATTGTAAAATTCAAGATATCCGAAATAGAATATTTTTATTTCCTTGTAGATTTACTATTGTGTCTAACAATAAGTAGAAGAGGTTCTAGTGAAATTTATTTTATTTTGTATTTCATACGGAAGAAATGAGGTATCGGAATATTTTACACATAATTAACTTATAGTATGGCTTAGAAAAAATAAAATAGGTTGTAGTTACGTTTATGTTTGTAAGGATTAAAAGCGTTTTGTAGCCATTGATTTATAATTGAAGATTTACAATTTCTTTATAAAATGTACATACATTTACTATATAGTATATAAGTACTTTTTTCTTTGAATTACGGAAATATGTTTCAAGGCGTTTGCAACAGGAATTATTTGCCGTTGATGCATGTGCGGGGCTCCTAAATCCAATAATGATCGGAATATTATCTTAAAAGTAAGGTTTCACGTTATTTCCATCGTGTATCGGCGTAATTTTATAAACACTTTGAAAATTTTGTGCTGTGGTCCGGCTTCGCGCTGAGATTGCTTGCCGTTTTAAGGTTTCATCTACTTCGGAGGAAAATAATTACAAAATCACAGAACGGAACACTTTAAATCTTTCGTCAGCCCTTCTGAGAGGCCGCATTTATGCAGCTTCCACGGTCTGTACTTTGACGTACTCGAATGACTATTCACATTTCGGCAAAGCACATTTGAACGGGTGGGGGAAAAAAAATCGCGCAACACAATTCCATCGTTATTAAATGGACTGTCGAAGGCAAAAGAGTCGATAAAGCATTTTTATTACAACGTTTCTCTCTCTCTCTCTCTCTCTCTCTCTCTCTCTCTCCTCTCGTCTCTCCAATCACGATACGATACGAAGCGATTGGCATATTGAACAAAATTATTTTTCAATTTTTCGCTCCGAAAATACTTTTTCGGTGACAAATGTAAATTCCACTAGGAGGCCATACATATATATCACGTATTATATGCGGCTTATTACTTGTTTAGGTTATATCAAAATTTCCTATCGAACTGTTTACGTTGAACCATCTACGATGAAATAAAAAGGAATCTTAAAATAATCGGGCAAAAACTCGTAGACTAAATTATCGTGAAATATGCAGTACCATTCGTGAATTGAAAATGATCTGATTTAATTCGATCCAGATAAAACGTTCATAGAATTTGATAAAGTTCTACTAAATCAATTGTGAAGAAGCAAGACGTAATAATTTGTGAAAAATAGATATCGAGGAAATAGTTAAAGAAATAGAAATATATTTGAAAAATAGAAGTAGATAAAAGGTGAAAATGACCGACGTCGAGCAAACTGATGAAGATACCAGTGATTACTACAACACTACGGATGTGGCGGAAGAAACAGATACAGATGATGTACGAGTTGCAGGCGAGGAATATGCACCAATTGAATTTGGGGAATATGGGGGTGATGAAGAAGGGTATGAAGAATTGCTTGGTGAGGGTAGAAGAAGTAAGAGAAGAAAGAGAAGTTGGATGGAACGATGCGTAGACCAGAAATGGAAGTGCGACGGACCCCTTTGGCGCCTTTATATGAACGCGTAAGAAATAATTAGATATATTAGTTTATACGCCACTGACAAAAAACTTCGAATCATGTTTCAAATTTTTAAGGTAATATGGTTTTTAATTGACTTTCTTTTTGAACTTTTGGTCTTGTTTCGTGTAACTAATTTTTTAACTTTGCAGGTTCGTGGAAGACGAGGAGCAACGAAAAAGAGATGACATTTTCAAGTATAGGAAGCCTGCAAAACTTAAGAAATTTCTCCGTGTTCATTCAGAAGAGGATTTGATGACGCATCACAAGTGTTTACCTCTTAACGCATTCCAACTGAAGGATCAATCGAAGTTACCTAATAAATTAGATCGATCGAAGATGATACGAATATGGAGGAACATGCGTGCGAATTTGCCCGTTAGTAAATACTTAATTGAAGCATGATCCAGAATATGTATCCATAGTATATTTTATAATATTTGGGAGCAATTAATCGATTAATTGATTACTGACAATAAGTATCGTTATTTAAAATGGAATGCTAGTGTATCCTCTACTATAAATTGCTCAAACCTTACTGAATATCTCATCTCTGCCAAACAAAAAGTTTTTCGCTGTACTATAATACATATTATTGAACAATAGGTATTGACTAGTAATAATTAATTAGTATCTATTAGATGTATTAAATATACTTGAGTATATTGAGTCTTAGAGAAGAGTTATCATATGGTTTGAGCGATTTTTTATTCAACAAAGCGCGATTCTTAAATTAAGCATTTTTTAAACAAAATATTTAGCAAAACCAATTTTAAGCTATTTTTTTTTTAGGTACAATCCTCTAAATCCGATACTGCGATAAGACCTTCAGTATCAAAGACCTTTAGCGACAGATGGCCAAGCATGTGGCCATGTACGACTCGAGACATGGCGCAGGAGCTGCTAGAGAGACGAAGGCAGGAACGAAAGAAAAGGAAGGACTTGTTTCCCTGCGATCCAGAGGGTATTCCGGAAGTCTTCGAAGACCCCGATAAAGACTTCTCTAATCGTAAAGAATTAGGTCATGCTCGGATTCCGCAAACGTGTCCCCTACCCACTAAGGAGATGCTAGTTGATCAAGCTGCGGGGGAACAACCCGGTTTAGTCGACGGTGATTACATCGTTTTCGAGTTACCCTCAAAGGCGCGGGGAGACAGAATCTATGCCGACGTATGTCTTCGTGGGTTGAAGGGTATGCATTTGCCAGAACTGGGAGTATTGAGAATGCGGAAGAACACGTGGAAATTCTGTTTCTATCAGGCGATCGTTGCCCTTCTGGCTAAGACACAGCTGAGGTATTTGTTAAATGTAAATTTTGTTAAGTTTTGGAAAATTTGGAGTTTTAATCTTTCATCTTATTTTTATGCAATGAATCTTGAGGCTGAAATTTTGATAATATTAAGGAAATTTTATGGGAATATTTTATTGATTTTAGTCGTCGATTTGTAATGTAAGCGTCAATTGCAGTAGTCAAGGATATTTTGGAGTAAAGGAAATATTTTTTAACGTAAAGATATTTATATTAGTGTATCTACACAGTACTGCGTGATACTTTTGATTAATTAATTTTATTTAAACAATGCTTAACACTTAGCAAATCTCTATCTTGATACTAGTCTATATTAGGCTATTCTTAATATTTAACATATCGATATATTTTCACGAGATATAAGTATGCTTGGAGCGCGAACGTCGATTATATCTACGACCACGCGTGGATGTTGTACAGTCACATTGGGATGATCAACATTAAGAAGAAACACAGACTGGATGACATCGTCGTATACAATTACAAGTACAGCATCGAAGTGAGATTAATCCAAGAACTGAACGACGTTCCTATCGTCACGGATATTTCATGGGATTACGAGGAAAAGAACTTACGTCGGAAGATAGTCCTGGAACGCAGAGAGTTGATGAACGTTAAACTAGAAATCGGTTCCGAGAAAATAACCGACGAACAAATGGCACCCGTACATAGAGGTGTCAAAAAGATTCAGGATTGGTTCGACAAGCTTAAAATACGTTATCGTAACTGTATATTTCGCACCACGCGATTCTCTTTGGCTTTCTGGAATGATAATCTGTTCTGGTATCTCTACAACCCATATCGATGCAACGAATTTGGTTATTGGGATGACTGCGGATACGCGTGCATCATGAAATTCTGTTCGAAAGAATCACTTAGGAGGCACTTAATGATTCTTCTATTAAGAGCCTACGTTTATATCCCCCCGAAACCAAAGAAGGAAGAATCAGAGAAGAAACCAGAAGCCAATGCTCCTGAAGCTACAGAGTTGTCAGCAACTGCAGAAAAAGCTAAAACTGTGGATCAACCAAAAGTCACCGAAGTAACTACAGGGGAACCCAGTGCTACGAAGCAACCCAGTGTTGCTCAACCCAGTGCTACCCAACAACCCAACGCTGTACAACCAAGTGCTACACAACAACCAGAAGCTACGGAAAAAGACGAGGGAGAAAAGTTCTTCACTGTCCAAATTTTTCACGTGACTCATCACTGTTGTCAAATTCACAATTTGAAGTTACTACAACGAGGCGCACCAAAACCACCAAAACACTACGTCAAGAAAAAGACTATCGATGACTGTCCTTTCGATCCTCTGGACACGAGAGATCCATGCGCGATCGAGCAAGAAGAAGGTGATCTAAAAGAACCTATCGAGAAACCAACATGGCTGAAACTGTACAAGATCGCCTGGACCAAGTGCCTTGCAGTCCCTCAGAAGAAGAAGGGTAGCAAGGAGCTCACGATGGGCAAGATGCGGTGGCACCAGTACGTTGTGGAGGAATCGAACAAACTATTCTCTTTATGGGGCGAGATTCACATTACAGATGGAATGTTCGAAAGGGAGAATCGTGGCATGCAAACTTATGCTTGCTACGTTGTTTGCGCTGGCATGACCAGGATCATGGCACCAGAGTACTGGAGCTCGAAGATTCTGGACGTAATCGTAATGTGCGGAGATAGATATTATACTCATAGTAAATTGGAGGCAGAGTTCAAGGCGACCAAGAACGAATATAGTCACGTGAACTGTTGGAACAGGTATTTAATGAGTCATTTCAAGATAGGCGAAACCATGTTCGAGGCAAAGGTTCTGCCAGCAATTTGCGGCAGGTTATATGCAAAATCGAGCAAGTATCTATGGCAATCCGTGGAACAAATGTTCCTTAAGTACAATTTTGGTATTCTAACCTGCGAGAGCTCATGTCTGGGTATCTTTAAGTTCTGTGGAGCATATTACATGTGCGATGTGAACTCTTTGGGTCCGCCACTATTTTCTTATGGGGAGGGGGCAGTTTATCTGTTGAGAGCCACATATTTTTTGAAATTCATCACGGTTTTGGTACTAACGATCGGTTCACCAGAATGCAGTCAGTTTGCTCTGAACCCTATAGAAATATTGAAGGTCGTCGATGTGGGTCCGACCATACTCCCCATTGGGAGAACCGAGAAGAAGGATAGGGCTAAGAGAGTGACCAAAGTGGAATGTCCATATGATGAGGAGAAGAAAAAGCAGATGAGAAAGTGGAAGCATAAAAGAGCGGAAACAGCGAGAACGATTGATAAGTTATGCTGTAAAGGTGGCGAATGATCATTGATCTTTCTTTAGTTCCTTTCGTTGCTGTTAAATGTAAATTTTTGTACATATATTTATGCTAAATATAAAAGGTAATTTGGTTCAAATTTTATGTTTTTTAGGGGAACACTAAACTTCTCGTAACTTCATTGACAATTGTGCACGTTATGTATGGTAAAAGTAAATTCGAACTTAACATATTTAATAATATTTGTAAACGACTGTTCAGTCGTTAATATTCGTTTCAGTAGTCACGTCCATCGCTTGAACTTTCCTCCAGAAGCTCTGCTTATGCAAATGAAATCTGCGACATAATTAGTAACCATGGAGTGCCCGTTACTACGAAAACAGTCACCTCTCTCACTCATAGGAATTCGTAGAAAAATACCAAGCGACTGGAAGAGAAAATTCGTCGATTTTGAATAAGCGACAGAAAAAGAAAAGGTCCAAGACTCTGGAACAGAGGAGCGAGGAATAAAAGAAACCGCATTTAAGTCGATCGTCTTTAGGTCTCAGTGCAGCAACGGCGTGGAACCTATTAAAGTTGTACCGCAAGAGAACGTCTTAGTTCTTGGTCGCCCTCGGGATTTATGTACTTACCCGAACTTGGCACGAACTTTCCTCTCGCGGCGAACTTACGGTGTCCATGAGCCGGTGCTACTACCAGGCTAGCTGCTCTTTCACTCCTATCGTACAATACTAATAATATAATCGTCAAGGCACGTAGAACTAAGTTTGAACTACAACGCCGCGGAAACTGCCCGGGGATTTTAATCACTGATCCATTCTGTAACGTGGAAATCGTGTTGGATACATTCCTGTGGTAGAAGTGATCAGCAGATGAAAAAACAGGAAAATGATCATTTAGAAAAATGATACTTTTAACTATTTAATCAGTTTTACTAATTGTACTTATTTTTTACTAAATTTATCAAAATGGTTCAGACTTCTTGTTATTACACTTATAGAGAAAGTATGCAGATGCTCTTGACGAAATGAATCTATAAAATTCTGGAACGTACTATCTATTTATTTTCATCATGTTATTTTAATTAGTATTATCTGTGTAGCTATATTTAGGCACACGCTACAGCTTGTTAGTTTCAGTGTTAGATTTGAATAATAGATGACGGGTATAAATTGATAATTTTGAAGCAATATTTATAATTCGATAAATATCATTTATTAAACATTTTCAGAAGATTATTTTGTCCCTATTTTAGAAGCTCCTATAAGAAGTTTGCATCAGACTCTGTGGTAAAATATTGTTTGAGTTATAATATAATTTTTTTTACAAGATTACTTATATTTTTCTGTATTAATCATTCTATCATCGTCATTTTATCCAATTTGCAGTTTTACTACTCAAAGCCACTACTTTAGATCTCAAACCAGGAACGCGTTCAGAAGTAAAAATAAAATTCCATTCATCTTTGTATCTCGAATCAATAATTTATTTCACTACCTATTATACACATCGATCGTAAGCTGTATGTACAAACATATTTACATCCTAATTCCGTATTTACACGTATCCCCTGTACAAGGGAAGGCTGAAGAAACCCGTCTGTTTCGAATCTTTTTGACTGTCAAAGAAATAAAAAAAGGAAACGAAAAGAAAGAATGAGAGAGAAATAAAAAAAGAATTTATAACTGATATTTTAACTACGCCACTTCCAGATCCGAGCTGTCGGTGTCCTGTTCATGTTGCTGTTGCTGCTGTTGCTGCCTGGACAACGTCAAGTGTTCCGTGACTTTGACCGAAGGCGTTGATACACTGTCGTCTGCTCGTTGACGTTGCTCCAGCTGAAGTTTCCGCATACGTTCCTGTTCTTCCCGTTTCTGTTTACGCCACTTGGCACGTCGGTTCTTGAACCACACCTGGAATAGGAAATGTTTGATGAGGGAAGCTCATCGTACCCCGTCGGTCGCGTTTATTTTGTACAAGTTCTCGGCACAGTAGCTTCGATTTTTCCTTAGTTAAATCTTTATACTCGGGTCTTCTCTCAATTAAATTCTTTATTTATTGCTCTCGGCTAAATCTTATTGTATAGGAATTAAAAATTCTGTCTATTCTTTACCGCGTGTTTGGAGATGTTTAGGAATTTTATTATGTGATAAATGATTTATAATTTGATAACTGAAGCACTTCTAGTGCAACTCTAAATTTTGTTTCTGCCTGCAAGAAGTACTTCAAATGTGAAAGGTTAATAGTATTAAGAGGAAGTCCGTGAAATAAGTGGAAGATGTTTATACAAGTGGAAAGAATATCAAATCCTATAGTAGAATAGAATCAAAATTTATGCGAATAAAATTTAACATATTGTTCGTCATTAAATGTGTATCATAGGTTTCTGATAATAAGAGTTAATAACACTCTGGCAAATTATTTTGTCTAATCATTGGCCGACTATCGCTATTATATTCTGATTTAAACGCTTTGTTCCACCATATATTGGCCATCATCCTGTTGTAAAATTAGCAAACAGAATTTAATTTCTATGAGAGATAGGTACGACACTTAATTAATAACCCTATTTACCTGCTCGTGGGTGTATCTCATCGAGAGAACAATTAACAAGTGAGGTAGCAAAGATCAAAAGGCTTCATCCCACATTCGGAATCAGTATTTGTTCTTCACGCTTGTCCGACTTGATTTAAACGAAAGGCCGACAATCGATATCTCTCATGTTGTTACTGATATATACTTCATCGTTTCGAATATCTCATTGATCCCTCTCTTAACCGTTGAATTATACAATAATCACACACTCGTGCATTCCATGCGTTTTTGTTTGTGTCGAATATACATTTTCCGTGATATCTCGATATTCGTTCATGCTTGATAATTATGCAAAATTCATGCAAAATACACTCACTAGTAGGAGTCGAAGTTTCTCTAATATTTCAATTGAAATATATCCGATCGATAAAATTCCGATCCGGGTTAATCCATCGAATTTCAAACTTTATCCTCTCTTCGATTTTGTACGAATAGGAAAGGGTGCTTTTACGCTTCTGCTTTTATAGCACGCCGTCGGTCGTTCGTGTTTCTACATTCTGTTGATGCAATCACGAAGATAGGAAAAGACCGTCGCAACGGGTAAACACAGTCGTGCTTCTTTCCAAACACCATAGGACGAAGTGCTTTGAGCCCTCCACTCTTGAGCTGTTTCACGTCTTTTCCTTTATTTCCTCCACACCCACGTGCACCTTTTTCCTCTTTTCTCGTTTCGAAAGTCGCCTTTTCTACTAATTCTGTACAAACACCGAAACTCCTGCTCGATGCGGCAGGTGCGCTGCAGGTATATGTTGTTTCAAAGTCTTTAAAGACTCTCGAGACAAGGGATTTCCTTTGGCAAAGCCGACGACGCGGGTGGTCTGTTAGTCCACGATAAGTGTGAATGACTTTGGGATTGTACGATTGCTCGAACAAATTGCCCGAATAAAGAAATTCCTTGATCCCTTTCTTGTTTCATTATCGCGATATCGCGATAATTTGATAACTCTTGTGAGCTAAAATTATCTTCGAGCATTTTGGTGTGTTATTCGTGGTCGACTATTTAATCGGGAGAACAGGCTGTCACTGTAGAGAACGATTTGAAGATTTACTTAAAATCATTGCAATATACTCCATTGCTTACCAAATTATTTATTGTTCTTTAACATACTGGCAGCCGGTACGATAAAATTAAACTTTATACAGATTAGCGTTATCCAGTCAGTAAAGTAAAATTATGTTTTAGACTTTTTAAATGAACTTGATTTTGCGTTTTTAAATTTCTGATCAAATTTTATGAAATTAGTAAGCCATTAGTTTTATTGTTCATCTTCTTGGAAACGTGCAGAACACTAGGTAATAAATTACAGCACAGTGCCAGAAGTCAGTGTATCAATAGTTTAACTTAAATCTTCTTTCATAACGTCGACTCCTTGATATTCTAGAAAATAGATTTTGTTACTTATATATTCTTTGATATGCTACTTTTTCATACTACAATTTCGTAATTAATGTCCCGAGTATCATAAAAAACCGTGCCTGTATTAGTTTTTTCACCCAGAAACGCTTCTTCTGATCTGAGAACAAGTAGTAAACTGAAGCTGAGCATCGAACTTCTTGTGAGCCTTTTAGAAAGGGTTATAATAGCGTGCCACAAAAGAGTTCCTTCCACAATCCAGTCTCAATGACACGGTTCTTAATCCTTGGAAACACCCATGTCAATGATACACAAGTCTTTTATCGAGAAAGCCGACTTCAATTTTGAAAACCACCAACGAGAAAATAGTTACAATCAAAATTCTATTACATGTTTGCATAGCAAGAATTATTGAAAAAATTTTACCAAAAAGTACCGAGCGATGCAATTGCGCTTCTTTCGGTTTACGTCAGAAGACGCCAGGTGGCGCAATCGTACTTTGTTTATCTGATGTAACAGCAAAACTGAAGACGCACTGCGATAGAATTCGAACGCATTGTCCATTGCACATCGTGGTACAGTACAGTGACACTTTTCGGTACAAAATGTGAGTAATTTGATCACTTTTTGTTTGTTTTAAGCATTAGTAAGGTCGTAGCCGCGTTATGGTAAAAATTGTATGCACTATCAATTGCATATTGCGGTCTAATAAAGTGACACTTTTCGACACATGTTCTCGACAGCTCGATCATGTTTTGTTTATCTTGTGTATCCGTAAGACTGAGGTGGCGCTGCAGTAAAATTCGAATGCATTGTCAATTCACATCGCAACCTGATGCAGTGACACTTTCCGATACAAATTTTGAATAACGCTGCGTGCCACTCAAACGTTTTATGAAAAAAGGTCTGTTCGATTAATGGTCGACGAGCGTTGAATTGGCTCAATTAATTATATAGGCGCGGTGTGACAAATTAACAATTGCGATCAGTCTAAATCTTTACGACGTGAAATGTACGTCGTGTTATAAATTCTATGCCCCCTTCCCTATACTTTGTATGCTCGTGCATTTACAAATGTGGGCGTGTATGACACATGCATACCCGGAACATATATATGATTGAAGTAAACACATTATCGGTAAAGCTTTTAATCTAGCATGCAACTTGTTGGTCCGAGTCAAACGACGACTGATAAATACCGGTTAGCAAATAATTTTAATGATCGCATTAAAGAATTATAGGAGCTGCCGTTGTCGTACATTAAGGTGACAAACAAATGAAGTTCTCGAGGATTTGCCAGACCAGAAAATTGGAAAGCATTTTGTCATCGGTAGAAAATTATGCGTTCCCAGGACCCAACAGTTTCCCGACAATCCGAATGGTCAATGTTTGTCTAAACGAAAACCTAATATTCATCCAGGTACAAAATAGTAATTTGTCAGTTTAGGTGACTACCGATTATGAGACCCAATGGAAAATTTTGACAACACTATCAAGTTTCTCATAACTACAAAAGGTAAAGATGAAACAGATGAATGTTATTGCAAGCTACTTTTCATTATTTAATGAGAAGGTATTATATTTTTATATTACATTTTATATTATATTTTTGCATTTGACTGATTACATTATTCGAACTAACTATGAGTCTTTCTTCGTAGGTTATCCTGTTAGTTATCGTATCATCTCTGCATAGGAATTGCACTAATTATCATTCGACCACAAATTAACCTACAACGCTGACGAAACTTTGGAATACTTCTTTTAAAAGAATAAGGTTTCCATTCAAAAGCTTTAACCTTGACTATTTTGTGATATCCAATCATGAAAATCTCAAGTCTCTCATGTGATTCTCTTTCTTCAGACTCACCTCAATTCTCTCCTCCTTGAGATCGACCTGAAGCGCCAATTGTTCTCTCAAGATCACGTCTGGATAATGTGTCTTGTCGAAAGTGGCTTCCAGTTGCTCCAGCTGTTCTTCAGTGAATATCGTCCTGTGACGACGCTTCCTCTTCGCCATTGGCCCTACTGCTGCGGCATTTGGATTTATTTGATAAGGATGAGCTGCGTGATAGAAGGCTGGCTGACCGTGGAGCGAAACACCGGCAGCTGCCATCGCTGCCACGTAGCCGCCGGAGTATAAACTAGGATATGCTGCAGCTGAAACGAGAAAAAATAATCGTTAACGATATTAAACGAATTCTCTATTTTTTTCCTCATAATATTGTCTCTAAAAAATACCACCAATGAGGATAAAAAGAAACGAACGCGGAAGAAATGAAAAGGAGTTTACACGAAACAAACTGTAAAAGGTGCAAATTTATAATCGTTAAAATATCGTAACGATGTCTCACACACTTCTCAACCCTATTCCCTGGTCGAGGGAACGAAAAATACTGTGGAGAGACCCCAGTCCCTATGGGATGTTTTGGTTTAAAATCTCGAAGAAAGCTGCTTAGAGGCGACGTCTCCGCATAAAAATGTGCGAAGGGCGTATTTATGCTTTCAACCGGCGTCACTCGCGTTTTATCTTTCTCTTTCCTATCAACGACCGAGTTGCATATTTTTCCTTCTCGTTTTTCATCTTCCGCCCGGGATTGCAAGGAGCTAAATCGTTCGTGCGTGATCGAAACGGATTGCGGATTTCAGCTCGCGCATCCCCAATCTGCGCCGAGGTTCTTGCGGGTGAAATACTTAAAGCCCTCGGGGGCATAAAGGAAATTTCGTTGCGAAACGCGTCGGCCCTCCGAGGATTTACGCCTTCTTTCATTTTTCCGCTACGAGACACCTTACCAGCACGAAGTAATATACGCGGGACCGCGGGGCAAGCTATTTGCGAATTAACGCAAGGCTCCCTCTGTGCTGGTATTTCGTGTACGTAGCTAGTGAGTAGGTGTTTCCATGTGACATTCTCAAATTTGTATAGCAAAATTTGTTTGCTCCTAAGTAATTGAAGGATCAATTATTTAGGAGGCGAAAATCGCGTTTCAGAATAATTAATCGCAATCTTGGTTCTAAACTTTAAAATTTTTTAACTGCTAAATCATAGAAAATGCATTGGTATCGGTAACTTTATATTTTCGCGGGATCGAAAATTCGTAATTTACGTAGGAACTTTTACACCTCTAAGAAGTCGATAATTTTGTAGAATTTTTTCCTTTTTTAAATTCATAGCTTTTAAACTTTACGCTTTTAAAATGAAAAATTAATAATTTCCTATTCCACGTTATAGAATCCTTTACATTTTCGAAAAGATGATAACTTCGTAACTTACATCATAGGATTCTAAATTATAAAGCTTTCTAATTTTCTATCTTATTTATAGACCTTACATCATATATCACAATCCCCGAACTCATTTCTCTGTTACTTCATCCATTAATAATTCCATTAAAAAACTGTTGAACTTTCCAATCGTACCTAATTCAAAAATCAACTTACCAAACAGGTCTGCGGATGTGAACGCCAGATGGTGAATCTGTTGCTGGAGAGGATGCATCGCCGTGGTCCTTGATGGCGAACCTACGGCTTCCGGATTTTGGATAATAGACCCAAGGCTACTAGTGGTGGTGGGTGTCATGTTACCGATGGGTCTAGGTGCTAAGATATTTTCGATGGTGAAGGCGGACGTGGGGGAGGACATGGTCGCTGAGGAACTCGGTCTAGAAACCTCGCGTGCTCTGTATCGCACCTCGTCGGAGCTCACTGGACTCCTTGAGAACGTTCTGTCACGTCCATCGATATCGTGTCGCCTTCCTGTCACATTGCTGTGCTCGTCGTTGCTCTTCAGCTTGTGCTGCAAGCTTTCTGGTGAGTAATTGTAGAGATATCTATGACCGTAGCCGGATATTCCGGGACCATCTTGAAGAGGACTCGACGGCTCCGTCATCGGAGAACGCGATCTGGGCGAATCACTCGCATAGGTACTTTCTACCATGTTACAGGAGTCTAATCGTCGTAAATCGAAACTTTCACTGATGATCTGCGAATTACTTTTTAGAATTTCTTCGACGACCGCTCAATGGCTATCGACGTTTTCACGTCGATTACGCGAGTATGAAACGAGTTAACTACAACCGAGGTAAGAACATTCTTCGCTCGAAGATTACATACGTCTTATACACACTTGAGTTTTTTCTTTTCTTATGTTTGAAAATGGTAGAAAAATTTCTTTCAGTTGATACTCTAATCGAAACATTCAGCGCCTTCACAATCGAGCGTTCATCAATTTTTAATACATATCAAAGGTCACATATCAAGAACACCGGTGAAAAATGGCGCGTGCCATACGAATCGTTCAAGTCCGCGATATAACAAGACTCGAAGTCCCTTCCTGCCCCATTACAAAGGAACACCAAACGCACTATCTTCGATTCCTCCACAGCCTTCTAAATCTCTCTCCTTCACGATCTCAAGGTAAATCTTCGCTTCTGATAATAAAATCAAGCCAGTCACTTCATTCTCCATTCAAGATGAAACTAACGAGGCTCATCGAAACTACAGGATAGACCAAGTCGATCGGATATGTCGTGAAGATTTCGAAGATTTCGCCGGCGACGATGAGCCACGAGGACGAAATAAAGCCGACGCGCGTGGAGTAGTCCAGATGTGCAGCGACTGACACCGATGATAAAGGATATCCGACGACTGGTCCAACTTCGTATACGCGTTGACCTCCGGGGGGTGCGCTTAGATTCGCCGGCATCTACGTACGGGTAGCCACCCCCGTGTTAGCGACAGAGCGACAGAGACACCCTCGAATATATCCTGCGAAGGTTTGCCGACGTTGAAACGGGGCGTGGCTCACCCTGGCTCCATCCACTTTTCCACCACCCTTCGACGTTTGGCATCCCCTACGCGGCTGTGTCGTGGAGAAGCAGTGGGATACGGGGGAGGCTCGAGCAGGAAACAGGATAGAGAAAGAGACAGGGAACGAGCGAACGAACGTTGGCACGACGATGGTTTCCGGGAGGATGCAGGCGGAGGTGCGATCTCCTGACGACAGTACCGATGGTTCGGGGTTGGAAAAAGTGGGGGAGGAAACGGCGAACCGGGCCGGCAGAATGCCCTTTCATAGTACGTCGACGCGCGTCTGGCCTCGACGTGCACAGGGTGGAAAAAAGAGACGGTGTGATCCAACGGTGGAAATGGTGGAAAGAACGTATTTACAACGGATAATCACGACGTGTCTCGCGTATTACAGAGCTTTCCGAGTTTACATTGCGAATCGTATTCGCGAATTAATCATGCTTCCGGAAGTGTTTGGATTCCGACGGGTTCGTACGATCGAATTCGCTCTGTATTGTTTCTGAAAATAATTTCATGCTTCCCTCGCCGACAGGGGATTCGTAACCTGGGGGATTATTGTCTGGATATGTTTCGTACACTCCGTTAGGTATCATCTAGCCGTTCGTATGTCGCGAATTTATGAAGGATCAACGAATTTCCGGTTGACCCGTGTTTCATGTGGTAGGAAATCATTTTCACTTCCTCTGCAGTTTTTCTTATCAGTTTCTTATCATATTTGCGGTAAGCGATTGTGCTTTTATAATACAGTTTCTTGATAATTATATATACGATTCCTTATATATTTTTTTGAATTAGAGAACGATAGCTTATTATTATTTTGAATATTAGAGTAGTTAAAAATTTGAATATTTTCCGTCTTAACAATCTCTTATTAATATATCTATTCACATGATGCCGTCCTTAGATCTACAGAACGTCTTCTAAATATTTTATGTGTCAAAACTGATGTTCAGTCTGATCGTTTCCTACTTTTACAATTCTTTACATTTTCTTGAGATGTCTAGATTTTGTATCGATATTTTACATATTCGGAATTTGATATTTTTACTTTTGTAATTATTTACGTCTTCCTTGTGCTTATAGAATATGTTATTGATAATTTCGATGTTAGAGCGACATCAAATTTGACTGTTTTCTATCATAACTTTGTTTGCAGTACGAAAAACGAAAATGAAGTTGAAACGTATTTTTAATCTACGTTATAACGTATTATACCTCGCGTATTATGGGTATCGTATTCGCGATATAAAATTGTTCGCATTGCATCGGATGAAACGCAGATTTTCTCGCAAGCCTGGATGCGTGCGCGCGCGTGCTTGATTGATTCGCAGATTGAAACTGGCGGACTGGACCGTTCGCTTTCGACGTTATAACCGAAACAATTTTTTCATAATACCTATTGTTCAGATTTGAGGATATTATGATTTCGATGTGTGGATTACCCCGAGCTCTCGAATTATCAAACGGGAATTCGATGCCGCGCCTGCCTATATTTGCATAAACAACAGTACGGTACTATTCGAATTAACGGTGTTTAATTGAAACAGTGGCAACGTTAAACCAGTATAAATTCCAAAATTCTCTAATATCTAATGTATAATATAACGGAATCTCGATGATTATATGTAAACTTTGTTGTATTTAGCGATCCATCTGTGTGAAAATATCACCATTAGATACTAATTGTATGAGTTCTTTCACACGTTATACTTGTATGATGGAAACTGAGCTTATATGTTAATCGTCAAACTTTCTCATAACGGTAGCCACATTGTATCTGTTAGACATACTTGACAATCACATCTTCTGCAAGATGAGTATTTTCTATATTATATTAATGTAATTATACAATAGAATATAAAATAGATAATATATATATAAATATATTATTTATTAGTAAACACAAATATTTATTTTAGGACCGTTCAGACGATCTATAAGATCTGTATCCGTTATACATGTATTACCATGTAATAGAATTCTAACTGTACGATTACAATTAGTGCAGAGAGTGTAGTTTTCTGAGAAAATATTTTCACTCTCTCATATATTTTGAAAAAGAATACAGAAGTCTCATAGTCTGAGTACTATTAAAAAATTGCATTATCCGAACCAGTCAGTTACCTCGGTGGTTATGTGAACTTTGCTATTTATGGGTATTTTTAATATCGTTTCCTGCAACATTCGAGTGCATTGTAAAAGCAGCTGTTCAAACATAGTATAAAAGAGAGATGCGAACAGATGTAATTCGGCTAATCATAAAGGATTCTAACCACTTGGTTGATCATTGGTGCACATATTAAAGCACCGATATCGGGATATTTGGTATTTGAACGGTGCTGAATTACCTACCTGATATTCCAGATTATTAAATGAAATTTTATAACACTTAATTTTTGCTTCATGGAAAATCAAAAACGTGAAAAATATTTTAAATGCATTTCTCTTTTACACTTTCTGCAGCCGTAATAAAAGATGTTAAACGCTAGAACTACCTATCTCTAGTATGTACCTAAATACACTATACATAAATAATAATCTTAATAATTCAAGTATTCTAATGAAAATAATTAAGTAGATATAATTACATTTTTATCCCAATAAAAGGCGACTGAATGTTTTCAGTAACTATAGTCATTTGAACTCGTTTGGTATCTAGTTTTAGCGTTAATAAGTACCCATGTGACGATCAAACCTTTAACATAGAGTCAGCCATTTTTCTTCTACCTAAGCGTCCAGAATCTTATCAGTACCGATGAGCAAACAATACCAAGCCCGTCATACCTCTTAAACACGCATGTCAGAGACCATCATCTTTTCCCCTAGCAAATCGTTGATCCGGCAGATCTGTTCAATTATTCAAATCCCGCCCAATGCGTCCGTATTAATAACATAAAACCGTTGTAATGTGCATTGACTGTCGTCGTCATTGTCAGTTGGCCATCGGTGGGGAGGATCGTGACGCGATACGTGGAGAACCGAGCGTGAAAAGGTCTTCCATAGGTCGCGCACGTACCCTGACATTGTGAGCGTTCATCCCCTGGCCACCTCTTCTTCCCCATACCTACGATCCGTGCGAGCACACTTCGATATCCCTGCGTCCGCAGCGAAATCTATGCCAACCTTAATCCTAATCCGTACGTTAATCGTGGCCCGATCCATAGTACCGAGAATCCCATGGCTCGTACGCGTACCCACCGGTTTACCAGGGCACAAGCCCCGAAATGCACATGGTCTGTGAAATTCTACGCACACGATGCTCCAATGAAGACGATCCCTTTGTTCGACTGGAGTCGTGAATTTCATTAGCACTAGTGTCGAGTAGATACACCAATGCCAGTTTCGATTCATCTAACTCTGTGTAGGTATTGGTATGCAAATGGTATAATATTAGCCAACGATGGCTTAGAAAGTGATATTGATACCAGTTTCAGACCTTCCAGATGAAAATGGTCAAAGTGGACGATAGAGGATGGTCCAAGGAGATATTGTTTGGAGGAAGAAGGTGTGAAAACTTGTTCGCAATGAATATAAAATAGCTGTCTCTTAGGCAGTATTGAAGAATGCATTGTGGGGATATCTTGAAGCAATGGCGATTTGAAGAGTTTAGGACGTGATCTGAAGAACATGTGAGTTCGATGCGGACCAATGGCTGATGCCTCTTTATGAGAATCAGGATTATCCTCCTCACGGGATTAACGATACTTTTGGGACCAGATTTTCTGGGAATCGAACGCTGCATGGATCATTTGTGTTTTTAACATTTCGATTCGATATGGAAAATGAGGAACTGAGAGGTGAGTTGAATTTACCGTGGACTTTATTTCTGTTGGAGATAGTACGAACGATAATAGTATTGATAAGTCGGAAGTGGAACGTAGTAAACATGTTTTGTTTAAATCGTATTTCGCTGAAAATGTAAAATAGCTATTGAAACAGCTTAGTTTCTTGAATCTCTGACAATTTGAATAACAAAGGAATTATATTAATAGTTAAAGGTAATTAATCATTTTCCTTTTCATTATCAGCAACTTCGTCCAATTTCTTCATTTACGTCTGCTTATTAAATTTTTATTTTAGTACAACTATATTAGCTTTAATACTATTAACCTCGAGATTGTTTTCTCA